CAAGTACAACGCCAATACATTATTCCCTTATGGTAACAGACAGTGTTGAAGCTGCCCTGTAATTTGGCACAGAACATTTCTATACTAATGTAATGTGACAATGTTATGATGTCTGCTATTTTCTATGCCATAATAGCAGTATTTGTTTCCACAAACATGCCATTACATTCACTAATATGGCTATACTTAAAGACTGCCCTAGTAAAAACAGATGTAAACTTTGGAAAGCAGATAATCTCTTATAGATTTGTTTTGTTTTGCCAGAGTAATTTTCAACACTACTCTTATAAAAAAGCTGAATTCCCTGGGAGGATAGCTTTCACTACATAACCTGCTGTTAGAAACAGTTACGATGTTCATGATGTGTTTTCTCAGAGGAATTGCATGCATCCATCCATTTGTAAGAAAAGCCACTAACTGTCCTTTTAGTACAGTCTTCTATATAATCCCATTTTGTAAGAACAACTGCTACTGGTCTGCTTTACACTTATCAGTGTAACACTTCTGTCTATCACATCTAAAGAGCACTGTTGCCCTGAATCTCCAAGTGTCATATCACATCAAAAGAGAAAATGATAATCTGTATAGCATCTTGGGGTCAAAACGTCCCCTGCCTTGTTTATCTTCCAGTAAACAGGAAACTGCAGCACACAGAATGTTCCTACCTGTGCCACCACAGAGGCTTATGGTCTACAGGCACTCCATACTCACTGTAGTGGAGTACTGAGATTTGTAACTAAGCAAAACTTTTGTGGATTAAACTGTGGATGTTCCTGACTACAGTTGTAAAACCGCAGCCTTACCCTTGGCTGGCCCAGGTTATTTTCCATAGGAATACATTCCCTAATCTTCTCCTTCTCTCTAGCTGACACACGGAGGACACTATTGGACTGGGAAAGAAACAACCTGCCTCACACGGTGCTTATTATGAGAGAACTTTTAAAAAATCTTCATTTTAAGCTGTGCACATTTTCACCTGGAATAATACACTGAACAGCACAGGAGTAATAATTTGCTATTTTAGGAAAGATTAAAGAAACTTCTTGCACACTGTATTAGTAGAATGTACTATAACAATTTTCAAGAAACTATTTCTTTCATTATTTCCTCCAAACTCTGTTTTGGAAATTAAAGACAAGAATGATACATGTGAAACGTTTACATCGTAAAGCCTAGGAATGATGCATGTCAAATCTTCGTGCACTGAGGTTACTATGGGAAACATGCTGAAAGTATCAGCTGAAATGCAGCTAGGTAATTTGTGCACATTTATGCAAATTGCAGATGATACAAAACTGGGAGGAGTGGCTGATAGACCAGATGCGTGTGCTGTCATTCAGAAGGATGCTGACAAGCTGGAGAAGTGGGCTGACAAGAACCTCGTAAAACAAAGGAAAATGCCAAATCCTGCACCTGGGGAGGAATAACCCCATGCACCAGGACAGGCTGGGGCCTGACCAGCTAGAAAGCAGCTTTGCAGAAAAGGATCTGGGTGTCCTGGGAGACACCAAGTTGAACATGAGTCAGCAATGTGCTCTTGTGGCAAAGAAGGCCAACAGCCTCATTGGCTGCATTAGGAAAAACATCGCAGAGAGGTTGAGAGTTGTGATCCTTCCCCTCTACTCAGCACTGCTGAGATGCATCTGGAGCCCTATCTCCTAGTGCTGGGGTCCCCAGTGCAACATAAGCATAAGTCCAGCAAAGGGCCACAAAAGCGATCAAGGGCTTGAAGCATCTCTCATATGAAGAGAGGCTGAGAGAGCAGGGACTATCTCTCTCAGCCTGGAGAAGGCTCAGGGAGGATCCTATCAATGTTTTAAAATACCTGACCGGTGGGAGTCAAGATGACAGAGACAGATTCTTCTCAGTGGTGCCCAGTGACAGGACAGGAGGCAATAGGCACAAACTGAAATTCACGAAATCTCATTTAAACATAAGGAAAATATTTGTATTGTGAGGGTGACTGAGCACTGGCACAGGTTGCCCAGAGAGGTTGTGGAGTCTCCATCCTTGGAGATGTTCAAAACCTAGCTGGACACAGCCCTGGACAACCTGTATTAGTTGACTCTGCTCTGAGCAGAGGGGTTGGACTAGACTATCTCCACAGGTCCCCTCTCACCTCAGCCATTTTGTCAGTCTGAAATTTCTACTCAAATATGTTCCCTAAGAACTGGTGGTACAAAATAACAGGGAGGTGTGGTGGGTTAATCCTGGCTGAGGGCCAAACTCCCACCCAGCTGTTCGCCCACTCCCCCTGCTCTGACTTTGGTGTTCCCTCTGCTGTTTCTCACTCTTTTTGTTCCCTCCTCCTTCATCTGTCCAGCATTTTGGTAAGAATGGCATACTTTCTAAGCGTGTTTTCACAGAGGTGCCACCAGTGTGGCTGAAGGACTCAGCTGCGCCCTGTGGGGGGGTCTGTTGGAGCTGGCTGTGCCCAGCATGGGGGAGTCCTGGCCTCTCCTCACCGAGGCCACACTGCAGCCCCCCGCTACCAAAACCTGGACATGGACATCCAATACAGGAGGGGTGCAAGTCTCCATAAACAAGGTACTTTTAACTGTTTCTCTTATGACCACTGACACTTTTAAGTGGTCAATTTTTGGGTTTGATAACAAAAAATCTCTACCTATGAAATTTTGATGTCCTGAATACTCCTTTTTACATAAAACAGTACATTCAAACGTAAACTAAGCCAAGAGCCTGTCTGTGTAGCGATACTGGGTTAGATTTCAGCTTCTGTCAACCAGCATCGCTCCATGCGCAATCTGCAATGGAAACACTCTCACACACACCGCTCAGGAACATGCCTATGTCCTTCTGAAGGGGATGCATTTTTCAGCATCAAGCAGGTGCTATTCCAGACCTGTCACTGAGATATCTTTCTTCACGTGAAGGGAATTTGTCTTACTTCAGTGCTGCAGAAGTTTAGCCTGTGGTGTGCAGCCTATGCAAGTTACTAAAAACTGTAGTAACATTTCATCACTCCTCTTTCCATTATGTTCTTCCCAAACACAGCAGAGAGAAGACTAGGAGCATCTAGATGACACTGAGATTACAACATCATTTCTCCTCCTTTCCCCCACATACACCATTATGAAAAATCTCTCTCATTAGATTTGCTTTGCAGGTTTTTGGTATCTGAACTAATGTGAGGAGCCAAGATAATGCAGAAGCCAACCGTATTATATTTACCAGACACTGCATTCTATTACAAAACATCCATATCTAAGATAAATTTATATTTCATGTTTGTGATAGAAGAACATTAAAAAAAAAAGATTTATCTGGGAAAAAAGTAAGTATTTTTGGCAGCCGTGTACTAAAAGTATTCCTTTACCATCATCGGAAATAGTATATTGAGAATTATCTGATTGTGTGCAATGTGGTCCATAATGTTACCATACAAATGAGCCTTCAAAGATTGGTAAATATCTTTCTTACGTAAATTCATCAGCTCGCCAAATTTATGCAATAGCTGTCACTTGAAGAAATAATTCATAGAATATTCCAGGTCCAGACATAAGTTACTGCTAAGACATATTTATAAACAGAGTTTTTCCTTTGCTAGATGTGGAACATATAACTTCTTATTCACAGTTTTTAGTTACTTTTGGAAGAACTCAAAGATCACAGAAGAACAGAAATAACAAGTTAAAAGTAAAATAGAAACAAATCATTTTCTACTGTAGCAGATAGGGGATTGAAATCTTTAAAAATATAGGTTTAGCAGTATGACTAATCACTCAAATTGCTGGGAAGGGCAAATTCATATACATAAAATGAACCCAAACCTTTGCTCAAATTAACCCAAACCTTTGCTCAAATTATCTAAAGTTTTTTGATTCCACATTTCATTTCTACCATGACAGCAACTGCAGAGAAACAGACTGAGGGTGAGTCCTTTCTATAGTTTTCAAGCATGGTCAAGAGTAGAAAAGTGGAACTTTTGTGAGAATAGTTAGCGTAGCTTTTACATATAATTCATTTTCTAGCCTTGTGCTAGATACAATTTGAGCCAAAAGCTCTTCAGATTATAATTATTCTGTTATTTTAGGGTTTGTCCAAGAAGGTACACCTTGCTGTAGAGTGGAGAACCAGAACAAGATATAAAAATCCAAAATGCTTGACTAGGTAGTTATACCATCATTTTCTATCATCAGTCATTCATTCAGATAAATGTATACAAATAGAAATAAAAATGCTTAGCCTTAAAGCAATTCCCTCTTCATATGTATATAAAAATGTGCAACATTTGGGTATTTCAAATATGATGAGTTAAAAAGAAAACTCAGTAGCTCGCTTTAATCAGTTACCGTGGATCATTATGGCTCTTGCATTACTATTCCACAGTCACTTCTGCATAATTCTATTTAGATCAATAAGGCTAGATTGCAATAAAACTAGATTATGACATTGGTGAATCAGGCCCCTTATTTTTGACACATTTAAGCTTTTCCTGAAAGACCAGATGGTTGGTGTATGTTATGTAGTTTTATTCAGATGAAATTTAAAAGAACTAAAACACTCACCATGCTTTTATTATTGGCATGCTTAGTGTGTCACCTAAAGAAATCTACAAAGGGAGATAATGAGCCTTGTCAACTGTTTCACAGTAATTATAGCCCTCATGATATAATGCTACAAAATTACAATATAGCTTAAGATAATAAAATGCAAAAGGTTTTTTCAATCAGGAAAAAAACTCTATTTGTAACATTTATGCAGGAAAGGGATTATTTCAAACAGGTAACCGTCAATATATTAGACATGCAATCAAGTGTAATAAAACCAAATTCTGTCAGTGCTTGGTACTGCACATTGTCCAAAATTTATACTGTACATTTTAGCTATGTTCTTCCCACAAGCCTTACAGATTTTCACAGGGTTTGCCAGTTCATTTAAATATCTAATATTAAAATAATATAAAGCTTCAGTCACTTGCTTCAAATATTGCCTTAAAACTCTTGAGAGTTCAGATCAGCATTTTTTAGTGTACTTACGGTCATTGCATAATGGTCCACTAAAGGAGGTCATACTACAGTCACAACTGAATCCATCCCACTGCTGTAAGCACACTCCCTGGTTTGCGCATGAATCCTCTTGGCACGTTGTGCTGGGGCCTGATGAGAACACACAAAAAAGGACTTGCACTTTGCCTTCCAAAGAAAGGTGTTTCTCACTGGATCACATTAACTAGTTGCCAACATCTTAAATCAAATGAGTAAAGAGTTACCAAGTACGACACACAAACTTGTTGATTTTGTAGCAGCATGTAATATCAAAAGGGTGGTTTTCTTTAGTTTTAAGATTGATATGTCAAACACATAAGAATGCACAAGCTGAAGCAGAGTTATTCCAGGTACAATGGGAATGTTAATTTTGTTGCAAGTTATTTGTTAATCTCGTGTCAGACCATTAGCTGGCTAAATGTTTTCTAAAAACTTCAGTACTATTTTTTCCTATAAATACATTTCAAAGCCAGATGCCACAGAAAGCAAAGCTCTGGGAGATGAAAGTAAGGATTAGAAAATAAAATTAAAACCAAAACAAAATAAAAAAATAATAAAATGAAGCTACACTATACAATGCTTTTAATCCCACAAATTATTTTAAATGGTTTAGGTCTGAAATTAAGAAGAGCTTGGGATTCTTTGGCAGGAATGTTGGCAAGTACTGATTCACATGCTTCAGGGATCCCATGCAGTTTCCTTTTTTTAAGGGAGAATGCAGAAAATCAGACTACTAATGAACTGGCATGCCAAAATGTGACATACGCATGAAAAACAAAGCTACTCTATTTCTAGAGAATCATAACTAGACTACTGAAATATAAAGAAATTTGAAAAGGAATGATCAAAGCACTAAAGCAATCACTATACAAACATATTCAAGACTGAAAGCCTTTATGCAAGCTATGCTGGAAAATGAAGGTTCATGTAGCCCATTGTTTTAGAGGTGTGAAAGACAAAATCTGAAATAAAATAACACATTTTAGTTCTGAAATGTACAGAGCATTTATTGCAGAAATCCAACCGTGCATTGGGGGTTTCAGTCTTGTTTAATACACACAGGGCTATCTACCTTGCAAATCAGCTTTCATCAATGCAACTTTGTCAGCAAAATAAAAAAGCAAAATATATTAAATGTTAGTAAGCAATATTGAAATGGCAGCAAACACAGAAAAAAAACATTCAGAGTAAAGTGCATGCTGCTGTTAAAGAGAGAAAGAAATGCCATATAATGCAAAGAAATTAATGCTAATAGCCATAAATCTTCAGGCAAGCCAAAATAAGAAAGCAGTAATTTGCCAGTATTTTACTACAAATATAATGGTTAATTGAGCTGATGACATATAATGAAGGAAAATTAAAAGTTTAGTTGTTTTTTTTTTCTTCCTTGGATAGATATGAATGCATTAGCAGAGTAAATGCATGGCTGAATCCTGACTAGCCATTTGTCATGTTCAGATACACTGAATTCAAGAATAATTAGCACCATCATCCTCTCTGGTCTTTCTTTTTTCTAGCCCTTTCTTCATGACTGGTGAATGAAGACTGAAATACAGACTGTGAACTACAGATTACTATGAGCTCACATACACATTTCACACTGACTTTTGACACTACAAGGAAAAACTTGGTTCTGGGATTACAAAAGTCTCCTAAATTGTTTTGGAGAAGACACATCAATATCCATTTGAAACTCCCATTGCAAGTCATTGATGACAAGGCAAAACTGGTCCAAAGATTATATAAATATCCTAAATCATCCTGTAGCGAGAAATCCACTTAACCCTTCTTTGACATTACAGCTCCTTCAAAGAACTCAGTGTGGGTTTTTCTTTTGATTTGCCAGTATTTTAGAAAAATCGATATCAATATGATTTAAGTCAGTTCAATGGCCACTTGCTTTAAATGAGGCACTGCTCGAGCACACCTCTGAACCAGGGCCTGAACAGCCACCACTGTGATTAAGAACGAGGGCAGTGTACGCTGCATCCCTGTTTCGGCAAAATTATTATCTGTTCTATTTTCTCCTGTTCAAATAATATAACAATAATAACAACAATAATAATAACCATAACTGATTGACTGCAGTAGGCAGACATAGGATAGTGATCTCCTTTTCTTTGGAGTTTTGAGCCCAGAAGTTTAAACATTTGGGCATTACATCACCCTTTCTTGAGCTGGGGATTATAATGACAGAATCCCGTAGCTGACAAGACAAGACACATTTTTTTCTCACCAGATTCTGCTACTCGGAAACTTTACAAAGATGAAGTGAAAATATCTGTAGGTGTTTAAATGTTATATATTCATGCATTTATTTACACTTTAGTTATGCAATGTTAAATTTCCTCATCTTTGCAAAAGTAGAGCAAAAGTCACAAGGACTTAAAAGTACGTAAACTGCAGGACCCTGTAGGCACATTAAAAAATGCATGTTAAAACACACATATTTGGAAAAAGTACAGATAGGATCTTGTTAAAAAGCAGGGTATTTTGCTTTTTATGAAATTGATTCTTAGCACTTTTTCCTTATCTATAGTAGTCATTATTAAAAAATTGACGTCAAGACTACCTTACATGTAAGAATTTCTTTTAATAAAAGTAAGCTTTTTTTTTTTTTTTTAAAGAACAGAGGAGGACTGTTTAATGTCAGTAAATACTATAATATTTACCATAACAGGTTCATATTTTCCTATATATATTACAGAACTAAGCTATTTAGTAAAAAAATTGTAATACACTTCTCAAGCACTCACCTTTTTATTCACATTCTATTTAAATATTCTAATTTATTCAGTCTTCACTGTAGACTTTTTAATTGACTGGATTTGGTCTCTCATTTACACTTGTCTTATGTGAGGGCTTACATGCTATATATTACACAAAATGCATTATTAAGTAGCATGTACAATGTTTTACTATATATTGCAAAAATAAATTCCATGTCTCACCACCAAGAATCTTCACATATATTAATACCTTGAAACTTTTCATATAGTTCATTTAATACACAAATTATATTATATATGCACATGCATGTACACAGTGCATTTTCCTCTTAAATATATTAAAAGTATTTTTTTATCATTCTGTAATTTCTACAATTCTGCTTTATTTAAAGTGTGTAAAGAAAGTACAATGGATTTGACTAGAGAAAAACAGGGCTGACACTTACAACCTGGCTCTGGGGTTTGCTGTTCACAATCTGAAGAGCTAGTTAGCATATTTATGTTTCTAGCTGTTAGTTTCTATCTGTTCTAGCCATTGAAAATTTGTCAACAAGGTGGATTCAGCCAAGTGTAAATTACATTCAATGCTCAATGATAGAGAACAGAGATATCTATCTGCCTGTGGCTGAAATTTCGAAATGCAAGCCTTACAACTTGCCACACCAATCCCACGTGTGGGTTTGCAAAAAAACATTCCAAAGAAAGAATTTTTAACATGCACTTATGACAGTAAAGTTATTGAGAAATGTCAACCTTCTAAGAACAAAATCCTAACAGATAAAATTAATTAGTGGTACATCATGGCTTCACAGTTTGACAGAAGAGAGAAAAAGAGCTTTCACCCCAGTTTTTTTTTTTTTTTTATACCAGAAAGGTGGGGAATTCAATCCCATAAGAATCTGAAGAACATCAAATCCAAGTGCCTCACTTCTCAGGAAAGATTTTGCAGCAGGCTGATGTCTTAACAAAGGACATATACCCACCAGTACAGCCAGCCATCTTTTGGATTGAGAGTGGCAGTGACTAATACTTATTGTTTTGAAATTACTTCTGCTCCTGTGTCCTGAGCTCTTTGGACTTGACATCTCAGGGGGCTTACAGAGCTTACGCATCCCATTGCAGCAAGAGATAGATGCAAAACTGCTCAGCTTTGTAAGGATGGAGACAGTCCTGCCTGTACACAGCAGCAGAGCTATGGGCAGCTTGAGGCATACAAGAGACTTTTAGGAGGCAGCTAAATTTGCAAGTGACTTAAATCATATTTTAGGTGTCAGAACATTTTTTTGTACATCTGACCCATAGTCTGCAGACAAGAGACTGACGGATGGGTCAGACAGGAAGACTTGTAGTAAACAAGTGAGATGGAAGAGTTAACTTGCAAGAGTTAAGCAGAAAGGTTGGAAGGGAATATTTCATTCCATGCTGTTAAAGATTTCCTTCTGCGGGCAAAAGACTTTTGATGAGACAGGTCCCTGGGAGCCAGGCAGCACATCTGGTTCGACCATTTTGCTTGTGTCAGATAATGTTGGTGTCGGAAAAAGCTGACTCTCCACCAAAGAGGACAATATTTGTACGGCCTTTATTAAATTGTTGGTAACTTTATTAAATTCACCAATAGCTGAGTGGTGCCACTGGTTTAAAAGGTGAACTTGCACTCTAGGCCTGTGGCAATATTTCTTTGAAGTACATAAAATTCATTTAGAAAATTACATCATTTCAAAAGAAGCTATGAAATGCATAATGGAATTAAGGCATACTTTGAGACTCTGAAGGGATGGTGCAGGCATGGAACTTGCTAACGTTATTCAGAAAGCAGAATCTAATTTTCTAAACTCAGTGACAAACTAATTTATTCATATTTTTCCATTCCTGATAGAAATAAATAGACGCTAAAGCTACAGAAAAATAAGTTGTGAATTTTACATATTTCTAGGTACTATCAATAGAATTTATACTGTTAACTAAAGGTAGGAGGTAAAGAACAAAAAAGTTCCACCTGTACAAACGTACTGTAGGCACAACAAAAGAGGAGACAGAATTTATCCACCAGAAAGCTTTATCCTGTGAAGCCTGAAGAAAACCCCCAGCTCTGCTTGGATTTTTTACCATGTCTATTTGCAAACTTAACAAACTTGATATCAAAATCATCAAGATTCCAACTTGAAATTCTACAGTGTCATTTACACATTTTTCTGTCCAGAGACGAATGGCATTTGAGAGGGGGGAGAACACATAAAATTGAACATAGCCACAAAATTCAGAATTCCGTGAAATCGTAGTAAAAATAACGTGGGATTAAATGACAGCTAGAAAAATAGCTAGAGATTGACACCCCTGAATTACAAATACACCTCTTCTAATTCTGTCCTCACTTAAATTCCATGATATTCCAGATGAGTCAATAAAGATATAAAAAATGTGAGATAAAACATATTTGGCTGTTAGTGATTTCAGATAGGAAGGCTCATGACAATGCAAATCTCAGGGGTGAGCAAAAATAGAGAAGATGGAAGATTGATCTTAAACAGTTTCATAAATTAGCCTTGAATTAATCAGCTCAGAATATCTGCTTTAAAAATGGAATTAATTAGCTAATGTCTCAGCATTAGCTAATGCCTAAGTGTTATGAAGATACAAAGGACTTCATTGAAGCTAATTGTTATTGTTTCTATCATTAATTAAAATACATCAGAAGTAAACAAAATACATGCAAAGTATCTTGCCACTGGAGAAGGATGGAACCTACATTAAACATTTAAGAAGTTAACTCATGTTCTCAGATCAGTCTCTGTGCTGTAGGGCAGGCACGCACTTGTCTCTATAACACTAAAAAAATGCAGTCTTTATATAAGAAAGGGTCAAATGATCAATTAGAAGCAGGTAAAATATAGTCTCTCCATGTATGGAGTGTACATATCAACAAAACTCTGCAGGATTCGCACAATACTTTCACTATGATATAAAAAAATATCAGCATATTTAATACCTTCACATCCTCTTTCTATTTGCCCATTACAGAAGAGAGCATCTGAGATTAGATCAGGGAGCCGTCCATTCAAGTCAACTGATGCAAGACAGCCTTGGAATCCCTCTTTTGCGTGCACCAGTTTTGGCAAGGACTTATACATTTCTTTGGCCACTCCTCCAATATACAAATCACCTGTTAAGGAAAAATAAATATTAGATACAGAAAAAACCCTGTAGAATCTTTGACCTACTTGATCTTCTGGCCTTTTTGTGCTGAATGACAGGCATCTCAGAACAACATTTTTCAAAATAAATGCAGAAGAAAACACTGATAGCATATATGATGTGAAAAGATATTTCAGGACTATATTTTTTCAAATGCATATGTAGACTTCACATTTGTATGACTAATTACTTAGAAGTATCTGGACATTTTTTTTATGTGCCAGCTCCTATATACAGGAAACATGCATCTATTTCACAGTTAAGGATTCAGTCACAGGATCTCCATCTAGAAATGCATATAGCACTGCTGCATGCTGTTAGCGTAGTCAGGGAACCTCACCACAGATCATCACAATTATGGATCCAGCAGACTGAGATAAAAGGCAGTAAGTGGAGCACCAAGATCCACCTAAAGTCTGTGTATCCAGAATCATCCATTTAAAAGCACACCAAGAAATAAAGGGTTTAGGGACACATCTAAGGAGAAACTTAGGGATACCATTGTTAAGCAGTGAAATGACTGATTCTTCCCACCAAAATTCATACCCTGTCTCAGTCATGTGGGAACAGGGGGAGTTAGATGCCTTTAAAATGGCAATCTGCACACTGAGCAAACAGAATTTTATTGCCAAAAATAATTCTGATGACAGACACATATTATAAACAGCTCTCTTTGATAAACCTCAGGCAACTTAGTCAGGACTGAAAACTAGTGCTTTTCTTCCTTTGAGTAATTCATAGCTCTGAGACTTATTTTGCAAGGACATAACTATAACTTTCCTCTTAAACACCGAGGGAGGGGATGCTTTTCTGTTTTACAACAATTCAGGCTGTACCTTTCTTTCATGTGTTTGGTGTCTCTGGCAGGCAGAACAGTGATCTTTCAAACTAACGTAACTTAGCTCCCTAAAGTGTGGCTTAAGTGTCAGACTATAGGTTTAACTAGGTGTGTTCCATACCTGTTGCTGAAGACATGCTGCAGAAACAAATCTGAGCTTTGCCTGGCCAGAGAGGGGAAGCCTGCTCAGTGTGAACACACCCCTGGCTAAAAAGCTTCAGTCCTTCTCCTGGCAGGCAAGATGTGCTCGATTCTTTCAGTCACAGACAGAAAGGAATAAAACCACAGTTTCCTACATCTTACATGAGTTTACTGTCCTGCTCTGTTATCCCCTAACTCAGAAAAAGCAGCCATCTTTGCAAGCTTGGTGGGAGTGCTCTGAGCATGCCTACAGGCAAGCCCCTTTAGGCACGCAGGAAGAGGACCATCTGAGCTTCTGAGAAGCACTGAACCTGTTTGAAGGAAGGTGCTTATGGTACCATCTGACTCTCAAGCATCACCCAGTGACAAAATTCTTACTCTACCTATGCATTAAATCCTCACTGATGCCATGTTTTATGCTAGCATAAATTTTCAACAGACTATCTGAATATACATTCTAATCTACACTGTGCTTTCCAGTATGTCCCCCAGTTTGGATGATTTTGGAGCCTAGGCTACAGGATGTACCAAAGAATGTTTCTGCGTCGCCTCAAATGCAAAATTGTTCATTTCCTAAGTGTTTACCAAGCTTTGTAGGCTGATTTTATAGCGACAGAACTCAGAATGTACTAGCTATCATCACTACCCCATGTGGCTAATTTTAATCTCCCTCTTATCGGTATAAGCCGCAGTCACACCTTTGCCTGGTTCTCCTGGCATACTTGCTTGTTTGCAAGGGAGTGCAATTTAGTGCTGTTTGCAATCGTTTACAGTTTGCCTGCAAGGAAATGGCCTGAAACAAACAAATGTCTATCAGACTGTGAAAAATTCTTAGTCACTACATACCAGCCCTAAAACTCAACTGTATTTGAGTTAGTGAAATGGAGATAAAAAGCTTAGGAACATGCATATTATTAATCTTATAAGCTATCCAACCAAAAGTCTTAGCAACCATTATAGCATCATGTACTGAGAAACCTCAAGCTTTCTCCATTCCACGTAGATAATTTGAAAAATAAGATAATGCTTTCCTCTAGAGCTTTGAGGTACAGTATGAATCTCAGAAGCATTATATTAGACATAACAGATTAAAATATGGTGATCCATATGTTCCCACAAATGGGATGCAATTCATTCACAGCAGAAAAGCTTCTGTATTTTTCAACCAGCTGAACTGGAAACAAAGTAAAAAACTCTTGCCTCACGATAAAGGTTCTTCATCTTTTTCTCAGGTGGAACATATAGAAAGTAAAACCCTTCCAGGTTTCCTGAAGATTTGTGCTTTCAATCATCGTCAGCTCAGAATAGAGATAATTCATCTCAATTGATTCCAATGGATTTTAAAGAGGGAAACTCGTGAGAACAATACTAAGAACATCACACCTATGCTAAAAAGGTTAAACTTGGTCTATGGGACATGACACATGCAACCTCTTTTTAAATCTCCCAACATATATATTGGCGAAACAACCATTTTTATTCTGTGATGATTGGTTAAACCCTTAAAACCGCAAACTTTCAGATTGATCCCCTGCTAATTCCCAAGATCCATCCCTCAAGCATATTGAGATTGCCATATACAGTCACATAGCAATTGTCAGTTATGATGAACGGCTAGTAGAAGTCCAGGTCAGTGTGCCAGCATATGAACCTGAACTCAGAATATTTGCTCCTGAAAATACACACTGGAATATTTTCAAATAGGTATCATATGCACAGAAGTACCATACATTAAGTTGAGTCTAAATAAACTGTAACTCTACTGTTTACTTACATTTCCTTACGACTACTCATAATCAGAACTGATCATTATATGCTATTGAAGATACAGTTTCCACAAAAAAAGACATGTTCTGGGTAATACTTTAACTTTGTTGATGCTCAAAATAACTTGAGTTCTGCTTTTGCACTAGCTAATACATATCATATATATTGAGCAGCCATACTGACTATTAGACTTCACCTTTTATAAAGTATATACAAGTATTTTTTATGGCTATGGGCTAAACCTTTCCCAGATTTAATATCAAATGTGGTTTGAGTTTGCTGCTGATGGCATAAAAATACACTTTCTCTCAGAGACAAAAATTTATTAAGGGATAGCCTCTGGAATTAAACCTCAGATTTTTTTTTTTTAAAGATATTTAAATTTTTTCACTTGGTTATTTTTTCATATCTGCTATCACAAATGTTTTGCATAGCTACTTTTATTTCAGTTAATCACATGCTTCATTTTCATGTTCATCTCAATGAAGTAGTTTCCTACAAAACTCAATCCATCAGAAATTCAGACAGGACAGAATCGCAGAAAATGTTGTTAATGAAAATATTTGTATCTTGAACATGCATTAGCAGAGGTTCAGTAAAGATAAAGCTTGTCCCTGCTCCTACTAAAAGAGATCAGAGGAATCAACAAAGTATGATACAAATTCTCAGGTTTCCTCCTCTTTTTCATTTCTTATGTAAGTACAGCTTTACTACTGGAAATGTTACATGCTCTAAAACGGGACTAATCCCTTGTTGTGTATCTGCCTACTTACCCTGATGAATTACATGTAAGTTATTAAGTAAGGTATCACAGTTCAACAGATCAATAGTATGAGATCATGACACTATCTAAACTAGCTGCAGCCTAAATGCAATACTATCACAATACTGCTGCCACCGAAAATGCGTGACCGTTTCAGGAGTTGTGCACAATGGAAAGTGCAATTCTTCTATTTCTTCCTTTCTTTCAACAGATGATCATTTTTTTTAAGTACATATAGAGAGGGATATACCTGTATTACAGTGCTAACCATTGTTTCTGGAACTAAAGTTTAGCTATTACCTTCTGTGTCTGTATTTTCTTCTGAAGTTTATTTTGATTTTTAAATGTATTCCTGAAAAAGTCTCAATTTTTTTTTCATAAGCATCCTTACTTTCCTTAATTTATAAAGGAAAATAACCAGTTTATATGAAATATATCAACTGGCATAAACAAAGTAGCAGGCAGTAAAGAAATGGGTGAGGGAATAGAGTGCTCCAAGATTTCTTTCTGACCTCTGGAGAAGCTTCAAATAAAGCACTTAGTTTGAGAGCAGGTACTCCTTAATCTCACAACTCTCTTCTTACTTATATTAGGATTCAGGATACGGAGTTATCCTTTTTTATTTAGGGAGGGAGGATTGTTTCCTCTCTTCATTTTTCTGAGGCCAAAAAAATAAGTATGCTACAGTGTTTCTCACTGGCATGTTCATTGCAGGTCAGAGGAATCAACCGGAAGGCAGCACTTTCAGAGCTATACCTATGAATCACAGCAGTAATAGTACTGGTCAGTTATATCATAAGTACTGACAAAGAAAAGAGTTTAGTGGGTTTAATTTATATCTTTTACAGGTAATGAAGACTTTCATTTATTCCAACAGGAGCTTTCCTATTTACACCTATATAACTCTCTTCTGACTTAGAGCTGATTTGTGCTTTGAGGAACAAGTGAATTTAACACAGAAAGAAATTGCTAGCTAATAAGTGAACCCAAGTTCTCAATGTATTCATTATTGGAATCACACTTATGAAAAAACACACAGAACACCACACAACAGTGAGTCACACACAACTCCTGGTGAAACAGATGCTGCAAAATTCTTCTGTAATATCTCATCTTTTTTTATCCCAAGACTCTACATTTCTTCAAAATAAGAACTTTGCAAATGCTAAACCGAAGAAATGTAAAATAAAAATTGAAGATGCTGTTCTATTTATTTCTTTTCTGAATAAGTAGCAGAAGTATCTTATTATTTGGCACTACCAACATTGCTGACAGGTCACCCCCTAGACTTTCCTCCTTTCCTGATTCATGTCCACACCCAGAATTCTTATGTGATACGTGCTAATGGCAAAAACTATTCATTTAATTTAACGACTACCATTGTCTTCAAGCACTAGTAGAGAGGGAATTATTATCCACTGTTTGTAATGGTAACAGCAACGTGTAAATACTGCTCAGG